GCTGAAGTAAGGATCTGAGGTAAGTGGGGCATTCATCGGCTCAAGTAAGGTTACGTTTTCATGATGCTACCAAAATAATAATAATAAAAACCAGAAAAGGCTGCTTATTATTTGCAAAATGTTTTGATTTTTGATGGAACTGTATATCTGTTAGAATTAAATAATGTTGAAAGTTGTTTTAACAAGCTCCAGGTATGCTTTTGGTAGGTGCTAATTCCACTGTTCTGCCTGGTATGTGTTCAACTGATTGGGAATGATATAACTGACGTGGCAAGCTGCATTTAGAAAGATCCCCGTTTTCATGTCCAGATGTATCTTGTCACTAGTTAAGATGATTGCTGGGCTAGCAACTGCATTTTATATATATATGTATATATATGTAAGTATATATGTGCATACATATGTATGTATGTGTGTATATGTGTGTGTGTATATATATATAAGATATAAATAAAACCAATCTGGTAAATCTCACCATTTTTTCTGAACATAGCTTTAAAGTATTAAATCTGTGAGCCACACTCACTTTTTATAACATGCGAAAAAGTCAATACTCTTACAAAATTATTTTCTCCTGATTTTTGGAAGTTTACTTTTTTTCTGCTCAGTAAGAATTTTATCATAATTTCATGCCCCCACACTTCATGGTTTCTTGCTTGGTCTATTACTCTCACATTTAACTTGATAAGGTCCTGTTTCCTATGATACTCACTTTTGAGTTTTGATTCTTCACAGCTGCTGCTTTGAAGTCTTAGATAACATTCTGAGCACTGCATATTGCTCCTGGTTTTAAACTTTTCATTCAACTGCAGAACATAGCTCTGTTTCTCCCAAATAACTTTTTACTGAATTGTTATATTGTAATATTCTAAAATGAATGTTTTGCTTTTAATCCAGGTAAAACTGTAGACTCTTTTCTTAAAAGAAGCTAGTAACTTCTGTCAAAAGGTTTGGTGATTTATCCTCATCTTCTTTAATCCTTTATTCAAAGGAGTTTAAGTCTGTTACTGAGTTCAGGAGGATTCTGAATCATATGTGTATGAAAGGAAGAACTGATGCTTGTGCTTGTCTTTGTGTCCTGTCTTTCAGCACCATGTTCTTTTCAACCCAATCCTGTCCAGGACCAGGAAATGCAGCTATCAATAACTTCCTCCGGATAATATGAAAGAGTACTGGAATAGTGAGTACATGTGTTGTTGAATGGCTATTAGCTGGAAACAAGCAGATATAAAAACTCAGGTTTTGCCCTCGCTTTCCCCATTCAACACTTAAAGTGATTTCTAAAAGAGTGCATATGAATCTGGACTGTAGGTCAACATCAGGTAAAAACTTCCTTTACCAACCTTTCACTCTTTAGTTATTAATTGGAAAAATTTGGTCTGAGATTTTTTAACTTTCTTAAATGGACAAAAAATGAGCAAGGACCCCATCTCACATGTTGAGATGAGGTTGTTTTGAATCTCGAGGCAATAAGGATGCATGAAGGGAGAGCTGAGGGCACCACAGCTGGAGCAGCAGTGCAGATATTCCCACTGGTTTCTCTCCTCTATGTGTGCTTTTTATGTGAAGAGTCCTAATGTTTTCATTCCTTAGCCCTTTCTGTGCAGTGTCCAGGGATACATCTATGGATACAAGCACGCAGTTCTCATGCAAGTTATTTACAACCACGTAAAAGCACAGATTATGTACACCTGGAACTAACACTTACAATTTGACATCTTGTCAAATTATATGCACTGGGTCATAAAACAAAGACAAACTTTTGCCAGCATTAATCTCCCTTCAAAGTCACGATATGGGACAGAATTCTAATAATGAAATATCCTTATTATACAGAACTACTTACAGATATTAGCAGTGCCCTTAGGTATAGGCAGATAAGAACCAGGGCTCCACGGTCGGCCCTGGTAATTCTTCTTGCATTTTCCACAGTCTGGGCCAGTTGTGTTATGCTCACATTCACAAAGTAGTCTTTTGTTTTCTTCTTTACAGCCAGTAGCATGAAGGTTGCACTTACACCTATTTTTAAAAGGCAAAAATAAAAAAAAAGGTGGGATATTATTCAGAGGCAAATTGAAGTTCAGATTAAGTCTTAGTAAAGCATGTCCTATGGCAACCACTCTATTTCCATGTGTTGTGCCTGTATTATTGTTTTAGCATGCTTTACAAGACATCATTCAAATAGCATGTTGTAATATCTTCAGCTCGTACAGGTCTAAAATCAGTAATTAAGATCCAAATTAGGCTCTGGGAGTCTGAGAAAACAGACTTCAATTAAATATCTTCTGCAAGGCCACACTTCAATAGAAGGGAAGCTCACTATAATGGTATTTTGCCATTCTTGTTCAGCAAGTACTCTCTTGCTCAGAGAAGAGTGCCTGCTTTAATATGATATAGTCGTAGTAGCTGAAGGTCAGAGGAAATATTTTGGTAGGCACATTTAGTTTTACTTAGGAAAGAACACCTAATCAAACCTTGTGACAAAATCACTGGATAAACCAGATTCTACATCTGATCT